AGCTCTTTGAGATTCTTCGTGAGAGATGCAAAAGCCTATTAATAACAGTGTTTGTAACATAAAAAAAGAAGTGTGAAAACAAAGATAGTTCCCCTGCAAACACTGAAAATATATGTTACAAATTTTACTTCGAGTCTGTGAACATCAGTTCTTTGCCTGCTATAACAGCATGTCACTTCCAGGATGGCTCAGGAGGTGCTAAGTCTTGGCACAGAAGGCTACCAAACGTCATCAGCTACTACCAGATTTTCCTGAGGAACATGGTCCTTTGCAAGGGCTTGCATCAGAATCAGAGAAGACTTTCTGTCTGAGCCTTCAAATGGCTGAGCAGAAGGCAGTGCTGGGGGAGCAGTGTGTGCTTTGACAGAGGACTGAAGCTATGCTGAGCTGAAGCTGAGCAGCAGAAGGCTTGGTTGTATCAGCTTCTCCTAGGTGACATTGTTTGCTTTCTCTGGGTGAATGTTTTAAAAGGCATCTGTGGAAATGTCTTGCAAAATTCACACAACATATGTGCAGACTCATATGCAAATACAGAGCACATTCTTTTTGCCACTTGAGCTTTGTTTAAAACTTTGCCATACATTCACTTTTCTTTTTGTCTTGGATATCATCTGTTCCTGTCCTTGTACATGAAAATTTCTGTGCCGCATGTAAATACACTTTGAAACAGAAACTGTCTTCCAAGAACAGGGGCAGAGCAAGACACTTCAAGAAGACTTCAGGTCTAATCTCCACAACACAAGTCTCCAGCTTTAGAAATATTGAAACTGCTTCTGAGCCCTGTGCTTGCAAAAAGTTTGCAAAGCACTGACAGTGAAATGAGGCTCTCCAATTTACAGTGACTTTCTTAGCTTTATAGATTACAAAGTAGTCGAGTGCATGCATAAAGCAGAGGAATGAATCCACATGTCTGCTCAGAGGCCAGCTGTAATTGCAATCCCAAATGCACACAGGGAACTGCAGCCCCCTAACATCCATGTGGGTCACATGCCAACCGCAGGCCATATATCCTTCTTAGGATACAGGATGTAGCAGGAAACATGTTCCTCTGGCTGTCCATCAGTGCAGGCAGTGCTCCTGGTTCCTCAGGTGCAGATTCTGCACTTTCTCAGGTTTTTATGCAGGAGCCTGGTCTGAATGGAGCAGGGAAGCCTTTCTGAGCCTGGCCCATGAGTCCACTGGTTCTCATGGAAATACAACAGGGTTTGGACTGGCCCAACAATTCTGGCTCATGAAGCAGAAGAAATGCGTAGTTAATGCTTGGTAGGTGTCCAAGAAGAAAGATTAGAGCTGCAGAGGCAGAGCCTTTCTCCACAGAGATGCTTGCTCCCTTCCTGATCTTACCGTGCCAACACTGTGCAGCCTAGTGAGTTTTTGGCAGTGCTGTGCCATGCTACCAGTCCTGCCAGTGGCTGGACCAACACAGCACTCTAGTCGTAGCACCGTGAAACCACTGATTCTCAGTAGAAGAGGAAATGCTGCAGTCTTGAGCCCTCTGCTGCTGAATTAATCAGAGAGACACTGGCAGAATTTTAAGGTGTTGCATTGGCTGTAAAAACGTGTGGTTGCTTCGACGCTGTAGCAAAGAAAATATAGAAACCAAGAGAAATGACACTGCTGGATGATGTTCCCATCTCTGTTGTGTGTGCTATGCACTGGGTGAGCTTCATTTTCTCCATGTTCCTCTGCAAATAACTTTGCGAATTGTGCCTAGAATCAGAGAGGCATAAAATGGCATGTGGCTGCAGGATGGTGGTGAGGAAAATGTGGACTAAAAATTACTTTCAAGGGTAATCCAAATAACTATGGGACATTGTCCATTCTCCAGTGGTCATCTCACATTGCCCAGGATGTAGAGCTGGACTGGAATGAGTGGGAATGCTGGGGAACAGAACAGTGTACAACCTTGCAGGGAATGGGGAGACCTTTTTATTTACATCCTGTTAATTAATTATGTCCTGCATCTTCCATAGGAGCCAACAAACACAAAGGAGAGAGAGACCAGAGTAAATCATGACTCAGATGTATTGCAGGAGTGAAGAACTACTAAGAAACTTCTGCTGAACTGGTCCCAGAATATAAATTGCACAAGATATTTCTCCTTACTAGAGTCTCTCAGTTCTCTGATCTTGCCCTCAAACTACATTATGCAAAAGACATCTGAAATTATCTTTGGTCATTTTAGTTTATCCCTTATTTTGCTGAATGATGGGTAGTGGATTTCAAGGTGACTTCTCATTTGCCAAAATCATTATGGTCTGTTCCTGACTGACGGATGGAAAAAGCAGTAAGATGTACTGATTCTGCACAAGCCCATCTGATAAATGTGTGGCACTTAATTTCACACACCTCATGCAAGCAGTCAATTAATGCTTCTGCTTTGGCACTGAACACAAATTCCATACATATGACTGGGCTTATTTCAGCATGTCCAAACCTCCATGCAAAATGGAGATTAGATACAGGTTCTGGCTGAGAAATTTGCAAAGAGATGTTACCCCAGGGTCCTTGCCACACAAGTGAAAATAGGAGTGAGGACATAGTTTCAATGCTGATATAGTCTCTGTTTACTGGATAATATCTAATCAATTGTTTCCAGTGCCCTGATGAATATGATGCACTTCCTAATCCTGCAGTCAGTCTATTAGACATGGATTGAAGTCATCAGCAAGAAAATAATGTTCTCAGAGAGATGACACATTAGCTATATGCTCACTTGGGGCTATATTCTTTTTGCCAGAAAATAACCCTATTCCAGGAGTGCAGACATACATAAGCAATAGGAAAGAAGAGTTTATTAACCAAGATGGTTATTGCATTGTTAAGAGGAAATTTTCACCATTGCTAAATTCTGTAAGAAAGTGCCTCGTAATTTCTCAGAACTGGGAACAAAATGATGCTCTGGCAGAGAGCTGGGCTCTTCCTTTTCTGCAGGGTGGCTGGTATTGGCTGTCAGTTGTTGAGCCCAGAGGACAGCATGCAGGTGCTTGCTGAAACATGCCAAGCCCCTGTTCCTGACAGAGCAGTTTCCTCCCCCCTCACCTTGCTGTGCTGGCAGCAGTGGGGGATCGCACAAGATGGGGTATCCCATGCTGGTGCCAGCCTGGTGCTTAAGGAGAGGGGAAGCTGTTCCTCCACTCACGGTCATACCCTGGATGTAACTGGGAAAGAGTGCACTCTTGTGATCTGTTCTGCAGGAAGCGTCGTTGTGAGGAAGCTCATGGAGCATCAGAGCGCATGGAATCAGTGACAACAGGGGCAGGAAGGAGCAAATGTTGGGTTTGTTGACATGATAGTTGTAATTCAAGTGCCTAAACATGAGTGGCATCAGATCTCTAGGTCCCACATCATGCCTTTCAGCCCTTTGTGGGTGTCTTAAATACTCTGGCATACCCCAAATGGCTCAGATGGTTCTGAATTGAGCACTGAGCACGTAACTGCTGAGAGCTGCAGAGAAGTGTACTGACCACGCTGGCTTTCAGAAATCTTGAGCAGGTTTGTGCCGGAAGACAAGACTATCTTAGCCTGTCTTTGACTGAGAAGCATGTATGCAATGTGAAGGGTAGGTGACAGAAAGTTTAAAATATCTAGGGGAAGTCACAGTGGGAGAAAAGTTGTGGATACAGCTCTGCATCCCCACAGCCAGACATGTGTGGGAACTTCTGGGTCCATTTCCATGCAACAGAGAGCATCTAGGCATAGTGAAATGTGAGCACTCAGAGAGAAGGAAGATGTTCTGCTAACACAAACAGGACTCCACGCAGGAGAAAGGCAGCAGGGGAGGAGATAGCCTGACTCCTGCAATTGTTTTTGCAGGAAACAGTTTAGTTTGTGACTCTAGAAAAATGTCTTCTGAAATATCTGCACTCTACTTGGGTGGATTTTGTTTTAAATTTTTGTGGGACATGAGGGAAGTTAACAAATGTTTGGACACTGCACAAAGCCAACACATTTGTTGAGGTGAAATTCCCCTGCTTGTCAATTAATTTTGGGCAGAAGCTGTGCTTTAACCTCAACGAGTCCACAGTTCAGATGAGGTAAGAGGGGCTTGAGGCACATGAGTGTGTATTGACACATTGCATTGCTCTTCATGAGCACACGTTAGGAGCATGCACAACAGGAATGGGTGAACCAAGACTTGAGCATTCTGCCGCTCCTCAGCTGTGTCAGAGAATTTTGCCCTCTGATTTCATTTTCAGACCATACTTGAAGTGGCTACCGCCTTGGCCTTTTGACCCAGCTACTGCAATCCCATCACTGCTGCAAGCTCCCACAGAGCCCACTGTAGTCTGTTCTAGCTTTGCTTCTAATAATTGAAGCTCCCGCTATTTTTAATACTCTTATGTCTGCCTATTTTAATATCTGAACACCTGGGAGTTATAAATACAATTCAACAGGTCTCTGTCCCTTGGCTGAGCTGATGAAGGACCATTTTCCATCCAGCTTGCAGCAAATGGCCATGATTTCAATACCAGAAAAACTTTGCAGATTGTCTGGACTTGACTTTTAACATTCAGGCTTGGTGCGAATCCTTACTGGCAGTGCCCTCAGCATTAGCCACCTGACAGCAGGCATTTTGACACTGGCTGGGGACTCCCTTAGTGACCAACAAAATGAAAATAAGTAGAGGGGCATCCTCCACTCCTCAGGAATGGCACCTCCTTTCCTGCTTCAGGAACCTCTGCAAACCTTTCCTTGTCTTCTCTCTGCACCCAGATGTGCACCCCACAGCTCCACTTCACACTTTCCTGTGTGCAGGGGAAGCATGGCCATCTCTAGAGCCCACTAGAACCCCTGGGGCCATGGAACGGCTTTGCCCAGGAGCATCCAGATTCAGACCATTAATCAGAAATCTAGCATGATGATAGAGGAATTTGATAAAATAAGCCCATAGACTCATTCCCATGGCTCTGAGCATGGGGAAAGCACAATTTGCTGGGGTAAAGGTAGGTGATGCTGTCTGAACTCATGCAGGCTGCAGTGGGTCAGACCGCAGCACCATGACGCAGCCCTCCATGATAACTGAGGTGACTAACAGTGCACCAGACCCACTGCCCCAGTGTGAGGAGGGCTGGTTGGTCCAGATACTTTCAAGGCAGCTGTTTGTTTCTCTCCATAATCACTGTGGACAAGGAAACAATGCCACAGGATCCATTTTTCACTGATCTGTCAGTGCCAGTTTGAATTATGTCCAACAGCCTGTCACTGAGGCTGGCTCAGATACAGTTATCCCTGCCAGGGTCTGTGGGAATGGCTTGCCTCTCTCAACTTGGTTTGGTGCACACTGTAGACATACCTTTCTCTGTTGTGTTTTTTTTTTTTTTTTTCAGACAAGCCGCGAATGAACAACATCCTTACTTCTGCCACCGAACCCTATGATCTGTCTTTCTCCCGGTCCTTCCAGAACCTCTCTCACCTCCCACCATCCTACGAGTCTGCTGTCAAGACAAACCCAAGTAAATATTCTTCTCTGAAGAGACTAAGTAGGTGTCAGCTCATTTCATTTCCTTTGTATCTATCTCATTTGCTTGTAAGTTGCAGTGGGCACAATGCTAAGGCAATAACCTTCTTCCCTCTGTCGTTGTACTGCCCAAGTTGGCATCTCCGGTAATGATTCTTTTGGCTGTCGCTTCCCATCAAGGAAGAGCATAGAGAAAGAGTCACTTCATTACTGTGAGAGCATATGTGGTTATTTGCTTACTGACCTCCTTGCTGTGCTGCCTACCACTACTCCACCTCGTATCTGCTCCTGGTAGAGTCATCTGGGGATCCTTTTTCTTTCTGCTGGACTCTAGTTGAGTCAAGCTGGCTGCCTCAGAGCAGCTGAGCTTACCTCGGTGTACCCAGGGCAGATATCCCACCATCCATGGGGGTAGCTAGAACCAGATGACAAACCCAGGCCAACAGAAAGCTGCTGAAATGGTTGGGAGCAACTATTTCAGTAGGAGCACATCTGACTGCCTTGAGCAGTACTGTGATCTGCCATGTTTCATGGTGTATGTGCCTGGATTTGGTCCTGACCTGTGCCGTACACCGATCCACAGTGCATCTCTGATATTTCAGCATGTTGCTCACTACCCTGTTCACACTAGTTACTATCTGTTCTTGCTGTTTTATGTATTGCATCGTTCTTCCAACTTTCCTATGATGCTCTACCCCATCACCTTTGCTGATGGCAAACTCTTCAGCTTTGGTGGGATTATGAAATAAGCGACATTTGTGCAGGCAAATGCTCTCTCCAGACTGACACTAGGTTTGTAGTATGTATGTTTCCATGAGCATTTTCTGTCATGTTTTCACACTGCCTAATTTTGAGAAATAACTTAGGTGATTATACTTGCAATATCTTCATCGAAGGTAGGTGAGGATGAAAAGCAGATCCTACTTCCTTAGTCTACATAAAATCTGCATTCCCAATTTAGCCAGCTAAGTGAGACACACAAAATTAAGTGGCAGGGAAGCCCTTGGACTGTCCATAATAAATCTCTGTAGAAGATTTTTCAGAAGAGAAAATAGAATGGAAATGTAGCACATAAAAAAACTCAGCCCACTTCTTGGCCTGGTGGGACTTAGGTACATGGTTAACTTTAAGGCAAACACATACGATATGGTTAGAAGTAAGCATGGCATGTGCTTAACTGAGAACAGAGATGAGGTATTTTGTGACTGGAGCCTGCCACCCTCCCTGTCCAGTGTGCCCTGTGCACCACTCTGCTGCCATGAGCTTTGCTCCCTGGTAACATTTGGATCTCACGTTCCCAACCACAAGCATTTTTCCCTCGGTGCATCCCAGTGATGAACTGTCTGTGTTCCTGAGCAGCTTTGATGATACTATCTGATATTAGAAAATCCTTGAAATCACAGCATTGTAATATTACTGCTTTAAAATGGCCCCATTCTGAGGTGATCATTTATTTTCATTTCTCGGTTAAAATGAAAATTTCTCAGCACAAAAAATATACCCTCTGGATAGCCCAGAAACTGCTGTTTCATTTGTAATTGATTTGTAGTGCCTGGGATTACCTGGGATACATATTTCCTATTCAGATTCTGGGAGATCTCTGTCCTGGCATCACTGAGAACAGGTTAGAGAAGTGCCCACCAGGAACAGCAGCAATGGCTGCTCCTGTCATGATGCAGGGGATGGTCAGGACATCTTCCAGCCTGTGGTTCATTTATTGATTTACATATTGTGCATAGATGCCCGGTGAAATCTCCTTAAGCTCCATGTTACAGTTATTGATGTATCTCACCGAAACATTAAAAACCACAAATGAATGCTAATGGAAACCCCCACCTCTTCCACAGCTAACATCTGGAAATGTATGTCAGATTGGAACACTATCCTCTACCTCCTCCTACAATGCTTACCTGACTCACACTGAGTATAAATTCACTCACGCCAAGCAATGCCGTCCATGCACTGAGCAATACATTACTAAGTGGTGTCTTAGCAGTCTGACCCATCGGGTGCAGAAAATTTTGCTCAGCAGTTGAAGAAAGGACCTGTTCAACCTCCAACCCGCCTCTCAGTAGATCACAGCAGAAGGGAATAAGTATTGAACTGTAGCACTGCATTTTCTAGATATTTGTCTAAAATGACAAAAATAGGCTTGCATTAAGGCATTAAGGGGCATCACAGAAGCCACCCCTGTAGCCTTCCTGCTACCAAAACCTTGCCATACAAACCCAACACATTCCACCCCTTGCCTCTGTGAATCACATATTTCAGAATTATCATTAAAATATACATTCAACACAAAAACTTCACAAACACTAATTACATTGACAAGAAAAAAGAAAAAAGAATTCCCCACACCAAAATCAAAACAACACTATCACAACACCAAAAAAGAGTGGACAATACACACAAAATCCACCTCTCGTCCCTTCACCACTATTTCACTCTCAAGCTACGTTCAGTCGATGTTTTGCCCGTTACCTCTTCCAATTACTATCTTTATCTCGATTTTCTTGTGCCCCACGTTGGGTGCCAAAAAAACTGTGGTGGGTTGACCCTGGCTGAGGACCAGGTGCCCGAGCTTAAATGTCATCAAGAACATGCTGAACATAGTCAGTGTCCCTCTTTTGAGCTTTTTTTTTTTTTTTTTTTTTTGAATGGTTTGGGTTGAAAGGGACACCCTCCACTAAACTAGGTTGCCCAAAGCCTCATCCAGCCTGGCCTTGATGACTTCCAGGAATGGGTCATCCACAGCTTCTCTGGGCAACCTGTGCCAGGGCCTCACCACCCTCACTGAGAAGAATTTCTTCCTCATATCTAATCTAAATCTACCCTCTTTCAATTAACTGACCCTCTGGACAGTTAGCATCCCTGTCCCCATTCAGAGTATACCTGGCAGTCAACTTGAATCATGTTCTTACATGAGAGTTAGTCTTTGGCCATTGGCTAGAATGCGGTACATTCACCCCCTTAACTTTTCAGGACCATCAACCCTAGAAGAATCCCTGCACACTGCAATGGAAATACCAGCTATATACTCATCAATGGCAGCTATAGGTTTACTTCAGTCATTTTTGCAAAGCACCAACCCATCCTCTTGCAAAGCCCCTGGCAAATGCCACACCAACTGCCTCACACTGTATGTTTGAGTAACCCAATAAGCAGTTTCAGCTCTAAATGTGCTATGCACTCCACGGTCCCACTGGGCTTGCATATATGCAACGCCTCTAGAACCACAGAATCACTTTCTTATAGCTGGTCTTCTCCAGAGCCAAAGGAAAATAGACACCCAGCTTCTAGACTTTTTCTTGTGATATACCAACAATATCATTTTCTTATGACATATGAAGGAGCTAAAGGCAACAAAAAAATCCAGAAAAAGTAATATAGAAATGCTGGGCTTTGCAAATGAATTATTTGTGGTTTCTTTTTCAGATTTAAAATTACTTCTTTCTAATGAACTCCCTGCTATGGTTAAAAAATGAATGTTGTGAAGAGCTCATTAACAAACATAATATTTCTATTCAAGTAAACCAAAAAGCATTAGATACTTTCTTAATCTGTGTTTCAGTGATTTGTCTGGGTTTCTTCAAGCTTGCCAGACAGGCAAAGGTCACTTGTTTTCCCAGAGTTAGCAGAGACAGATAGTGAAAGACAGTTTCTGCCCAAGAACATTTGAATTGAATAATCAAGGCATATCCAGGAAGAAATAATATTTAGATTCTCCTTGCTAGAGATGAGGAGACAGAAATCAGCAAGGGTGTAGTCAGATCCACCTCACCCTACTTTAGCAGTCAGGCATCTTGTCTCTTTTTTTGATGCAGACATCTCTATAATGAGTGAAGGACAGTCATCTCCATGTTATGAGAAACCCTCTAGAAGGTCCCAGTCTCTCATTGACACCAGCATTGCTCTGGCAAACTACTTAGCTGTTTTCTAGATAACAAGCCTAATTTTTGATGCCTAGAGCTTAACGAAGTACATCCCACTTTAGAAGATTCATCTAAGTGATTCATGCAACATGGAAGAGATGATCTACACCTGCTGCCTGCACCTGTGCATCCCTGGGGAATGCACCCAGCTTGTGGACATCGAGCTCCTCACCACTGGATTTGCAGGGCAGGCACTCACCTCTCCTGGCATTTGACTCAGAAAGCATCACCACAGCTCCTTCCAGAGCAAGGGCTTGAAGATGTCCCAGCCTTTTATGGAACAGTAGGAAACAGGTTGCTGGCTGCACAGAAGGCAGCCAGAAACAGGTTCCATGCAAACACTGAGCTTTCTGCTTCCATGGCTGTTTATCTCCCCAGCTCTGACTTCAGGGCAACAGGAAACCCATCTGAGGTTGCTGCCTGTGAAACCAGGTGGGAGGATCTCTGAGGGGCAGGCACCACCTCCATGGGAAGCCCTGTGCCAGGTTTGCCAGGGAAGAACAGTGGTGGGTGGGTGTGGGATCATGGGGCTGAGCAAGAGCAGCTGTACTGATTCTGTCCTGCCTGGCACTCCAGGGAATTGCTGTTTCCAGCTAAGTGAGAAAGGTCAGTCAGGAAGGAAGTTAATATTTTCAGGCATATTAAATCACTTGGTATTGGGTAAAGAATCATCACAAATGACTAGGCAGCTTGAAAAAGTTAAAGCCAAATAAAACAGGAGAAACAAGCCCAAAGAGGAAACACACTGGAACTGCAGAGAAAAAGAAACAAAGAAATTACCTTTAAGAAAAACAAAGAAATTACACTGATGGCCTTACATACACACACGTATGCACGTATTTTACCATGTTAACATACAACCATGGGAAGAAAAAATATCCTTGGCTTTTCCACACTCTCTTCCCAGAACACCAAAAATGTACCTCATTTCTGTAATTACAGTGTCAGAGGAGCTGTGCTCTGCCTTTCTGCGATGGCAGCTTAGATGTGTTGAGGTGAGATGTGTGAGTAAGAGCACTCATTTGGGGCTGTCCCTCCAAATAAGAGGGGAAAAAATCTGCCTGAGGACAAATCAGCCTAACCTAAAGCCAGATGAAGCACTCGAACACTCCTGAAGTTTGGTGAGACCAGCCCTGGTCAGTGTTCCAGAATTGCCAGAGGAAGGAAGAAAGGGGTGGGGGGTATGATGACACACCCAAAAAAAACCCCAACCAACCCCCAAAAAACCAAAAAACAACAATTAAAAAGCCCACAGAAATTGTGCAGAAAATATGATTTCCAGTAATTCCACTTCCACAAGTTTGAAAAAGATTAGTGAAGCCCCAGAAGTATGAGATTGGCTTTAAAAAAGAAATTTCTGCCAATCAATAGACCAGTGATTTCTTTCTGTCTGCTCATCAATTCTGGCCTTTTGGAATCCACTTAGGACACTTTTTTTAATTTTTAAGCACATCCATGAGGGAGAAGCCTATTTGATTGTAGGGGTTTTTTTGGCTAAAATTACAAATGTCAGTTTTCATATGAATGTCAATGGAAAGATACGGGGTAGCAGTATCAAAGCCTCACTATCCCAATGAACTTGCTGGTGCAATGAGGATGAGATGAATCAGACTGGATGGTTTCAGGCCCTGGAGACATTTTTATTTTAGCAAACTGTGCAACCAGATGTCCACAGTTCCCACCCCATCCACTGGGTGAAGCACCTGGTGTCTCCAGTCCCAAAAGCCTGGAGCTGTATTAGTTTCACTGCTTTCCCTGGGTGCAGAAACGCTGCGGTTACAAGATGTGCTGAGCTTCTCCTTCGGCATGAAGGCACGCATGTGATATAGCACGCTCAGCCTCTCGTCGAGCTACATTCTCCATGACCAGTTCACCAGTGCTCATGAACCTATGCCACCTTTCAGAGGCAACAGCCTGTTAAATGTCTGTCTGGTGCCTGCTTAAACCAGCATGTTGTTCATGGGAAACTGTCATTTCTGCTTTGATTCCATTGAGAAGGAGATGTGAAGTTTGTCCACACCTGAAAATGTTCCCGGAATAGCTGTGCCGACATCTAAACATGTCTCTCGGCATCACGGGAGGAGACAGACTGTACGAACTTAGAAACATCTTTGAAATGAAATCAGTTCCCTCAGTGGTTTAGACACTGCCAGCAAAAGGCCACACAGGTGTCCGCACTGTTTACAGCTATGGAAGAGGGAAGGAAAGGATATTTTTAATGCTCCTAATTGGCAAAACTTTTAACAGTGCAGAGCATGATGCATTTTTTATCCAAATTAGCAAGGAACAACTTCAAACCACTTTTAATCAGCTTATTCTGCCGCCTCACTAGCAGACTCAGACCACTGCAAAGCTCACATAAGCTGGTTTAGCTCCTGCTGGCAATTACCACAGCCAGGTGTGAGCATCCAAGCACATCTCCATTTGGGATGTTCTCTGCTTTAATCACATCTATTTTGAGTCACTTGGGCAAATCCAGTGGAACTTCTTTCATCCAGAGAAGAGGCCAAGTGCCAGAGTGCTAATTGCTAAGCTCCTGTTCTGCACCCAGCCTCAAGCATCATTATCAAGCCTGTGAACACTAAGTGTGTGCAAGTCTATCTATGGCCACATTATAGAATAAAAATGTCTAAAATTACTCTGGCCATATGGAATTTCCCCAGTCCTTCCCAGGCTTCCTAGAAGGTGATTTTAAAGACACAAGAATTTGAGGCCAGAGGAGCTGCTGTCTGACATTTGCAATGAGATACTCCTCCAAGAATGTTTTGATTGCAAAAAAAGACTCATTCCTACAATATGTACTCTGGAGAGCAAATCCCATCAGCAGCAAGCATGCCAGTAGAGGAGAACTCTGGGTAGTCCTCACACCTTGATGGTGTGTAGGCTGGAAAGAGGTTGGCAGCAAGAACGGTGCCAACAGGCCATGCTTTTCAGCACAATGTTCTCAGCTTGTATTTTTGGATGCTGAGACAGGGGGATCAACCATCATCCTTACAGACCCTTTGGGTTATGTGGACTGTTCGCAGGACCGTGAGGAGCAGGACCCAGGGGTCACTGAAGAGAGCACTGAATGTGTGGGAGAGGAGATGAGGAAATTAGTGAGTGACATCATCCAGCACAGGATGCTTACAGCACTCCAGAGATTGGCTGAAGACCTTAAGGCACCAATGTGTAACTGTTGTCTTGTGAGCAAACTTCTGGGATGTTGTCAGCACCAGTCACGTATCATAAGGCATTGACATTTCCTCCAAAAGCACTCTGCCTTATGGGATAACCAGCCAATTGTCTTCATTTTTCAGCCAACGTGGTGCATAAAACCTATAGATTTACGGCTATGTCAGAGGAAATAGGAAATTTCCACGTCATATTTAACTACTAGGTCTGTGGCTGCCTACAGATACTTTAACCATCAGAAGTGGGACCATCTACCTCACTCACATCATGATTGCACTGACTGTCCAGCAGCAGAGCTTTGCTCTTTTTATCACTCAAACATCCTCAGAAACTCCACACATCTAAAATTTTCCTCTTCTATCATCTGATACTTTCCCATCTTATGTCACCTACAACTGATTGAAATACTGGAGCTGAGAAAATCAATGGGGTTCCTCTTTATTATCTTTATCATATATCTTTATCTTATTTGTCTTATAAGCAAAAGACTTTCCAAAGGAATTTTATGATAGGTCCCAGAAGCTGGTCAGGACATATAGGAGATAATGTCTTTGCCCATAAA